TGCACTTAGTCATTTCAGTAATCATTCAACGCTATTCAGAACGTTCTTGTATTTGAGTCTTTCTGTGAATGCTAGCAGTGGCTTGACAGATTAAGCAAATGTAGGCATAGTGAAAGCTAAAGTGGTTTATGGAAATCTAGGAGCCTTATTAATGTTATTCTAGTTGTAAAAGGTCGATTCTACAACTAGTTAGTTTAAGCAGTTTTTCCGTATGCCTATGTAACATGATCCCACCGAGACTAGTGTGTTCGGAAAACATTTCCATCCAATTATCTTTGTCTCCGAAGGATTCGTAATATCCAATAGCAAAAACAAGTTATTAATGGTAAAGTTTGGAAATATTTCTTCGGATATAGTAAAGAAAATTCATTTGGCACAACCATTAGGAAACACTGGATTATGTGGCTTGGACATGTTTTATGATCATCTCAGGTACCTCTTCATCGTGAATTATCTGTCGATACTGAGACTGGTTGAAAGAAGAAAACAGATAATTCGACTAGAACATAGCACAATTGTATGAAATAATACTGTATCGAACATGCAATCTCTCTATCCATTACCAATTCCTGATGGATGTCTTTTCAATGGTATAACGATATGGCTTGTGATATTATCAAACTTGCTTCAGAATAGAAGCAATGGTGTTTCTGATGTAGTTTTCTTTTACATTTATTATAAAAGTGAGGGAAATTCGCTCAATCGAGAGATACCTTTCTTGGTCATATTTATAATTTAATGGTATTTCTTATTACATATTATTTTCATTCACCTACCACTATTCTCTCATATATATATTAAATTGAGTACACCATATTTTTAAAAAAAAAATCAGTCTATTCATGCTCCCTGAAGTTCAATAGCTTTCTAATTAAAATCAGTTCATGATAGTTCAAACATTTGATTTTACAAAATTAAACAGTTTCTATATAAACTACTTAAAATAAACTGATATACATATGTAGTAGTCATCAAAATTAATTCATAGTTTACCCTTTAGAAAAAATGATTCTGATTGGATAATTAAATACAGAACTATAGAGAAATAAACACGAAAATATTGAATCATTTATTCAATGTAAATGTGTACATTTGTATTAATTGATCAGTTAATTGGTAAGTCAGTTACTTGACGGAGATTTGGAAGATATAAAATTCTTTACATATCTGGGCACCATCATTGATGAACACGGCGGATCTGATACAGATGTGAAGGCATGGATCGGAAAAGCAAGAGCAGAATATTTACAACTGAAGAACATCTGGAACTCAAAACAACTGTTTGTCAACCAACACCAATGTCAGAATTTTCAACACAAATGTCAAGACAGTTCTACTGTATGGGGCGGAAAGTTGCACAACTACGAAAACCGTTATCCAGAAGATACAGGTGTTTACTAACAGTTGTCTACACAAAATACTCCGGATCCGTTGGTCGGACACTATTAGCAACAACCTGCTGTGAGGGAGAACACACCGCACCCCAGTGGAGGAAGAAATCAGGAAGAAGCGCTGGAAGTGGATAGGATACACATTGAGGAAAGCATCGAACTGCGTCAGAAGACAGGTCCTCATCACATGGGATTCTCAACGACGAAGGAGGAGAGTAATACCAAAGAACACATTACGTCGAGAAATGGAAACAGACATGAGAAGAATGAACAAGAATTGGATAGAACTAGAAAGGAATGCCCAGGACAGAGTGAGTTGGAGAATGCTGGTCATTGGTCTATGCTCCATTGGGAGTAACAGGCATAAGTAAGTAAGTTACTCAATCATAAATAATATAAAACCTGAAATATATACATTTGTATTAGTTTAAGTTGTCACACACATTCACACACACACCATATCAGCACAACGAAATGAAATTATTATTAACTGATTAATAGAATGTATATGGAAGACTTGTACTGTTTAGAAATTTAGGTAAGGTGAATAGGGAAATTGGAAACTATTTTATCCACCTAAAGATTTGATATCTCTACATATAGGTGTTTTATCATTATCATTATTTATAAGGTGACAAAAGAGTGAAATAGAATTATTTTAGATGATCTATCAGTACTTGGTGGGGAAAACCAACTTATTGTTTAACACAAAATTACAGAGTGACTTCATGAAATATGAAAATCATACATTAAATACATCATTCGCACATCTTCTTTGCATCGTCCTTTACATACTCCATTATTTTTTTGATTCTGTTGTTATTTCGATTGCTCTCTGAATTTGTAATTGTTTTCATCATTTCAATCTTTTGCTGATATATATTACACTTTTGATTGGGGCTACATACTACTAATATCTGTCAGCATAAGTAGCATATACCACACTATTACCACTACGACTAACTATCATTTCATTCTAATAATGACATAGTTTGTTACTGATACCATTTATGATTTATATATTATTATTTAGATATGCCTACTGTTTGTTGTTTTTTTTAGTTTTGTCAATTTTGTAGAAAAGAAAAGGTAGAAAGTGTGATTTATTGTTTATTTCTTTACTTCAATCGATTGTTTACTTTAGTTTAGATTTACTTTTCTTCATCGTTGTTAACTCACTACTTTTTTTGTCATTCATTTCTATTAAGAAAAAAATTATTTGATTACTTTATAAACCATTATTCTGTTATCATCTCCATGAAATGAATAAAAGTTCTTATCTTATTCAGTGTGTTATTAGCTACTGACAAAATGTTGTAGATTTACGTTTTATAGTTGTTAGAACTTAGCACTCACAATGAATACCTCCAATTCTAAGTGATAATACTACATTGGATATTTGAACCTGAAATACCGAGTTCACCTAAAGGAGTTGGAATACCCTGATTCCAAACCAATGGTGCACATGGGCTCCAGTATCATGAAGGAACAAATGGTGTATGAACCAATCGTTAGTCACCGGCTACCATGGGACTGCATCTCCTTACGATGCTTCACTACCTTGTGGATCAGACCTTCAGATTGAAGGCTCCGGGTGTGGCCCTCTAAGATAGCCACCTGCTTCAGTTTGGGCACTCGTGCAGTATCACAGCCCTCGCACAAATCAAATGAGATTTGTGTGGCGCACATGTATTTGGTGCCTCCTTGTACCATTATCTATGTATTCAAATAATAATAATAATAATAAAACCGAGTTCAGTAGTCACAGATATCATTATTGAACTAGTTGATCAGTGATTGATTTGTATGATAAAGATGTTTGTATTAATTTGCTACTGTGTAATAAATCATATTATATCACAAGAGTTTTGTAGATATTATAGTAATTTTAATGGTTGAGATCATGATTCAATTGAGGCTATGGAAGCACCTCGCGAGGCAAGGTCGTGGATGCGCACTAGTGAGGAGTCCCACAGTCGGACGAAACGGTCGTCCAGTGCTTCGAGGTTTTCCATGGTGATCTAGCTTCAATTGACTCATGATCTCAACCATTGAAATAATATTATATTTTCATATTTTTAATATTGATACAATTAAACTGATTGAATTCCATGGCTGACCTTGAGATTTTTTGTTTCATTTACTTAGTTCACGATTGAAATTTTGTATGCGAACAATGTCACCATTTAAATAACTAAAATTTATAAATTATAATACTGATCAAGTGATTTAAATGAGAAACAATGAATGAATATCTCACTGAGTAGTTCTTTAGTTGAGACCAACATATGATGTTCCAAGCACAAGTACATTGACTTGTTGATGTAATCTTTCCATGAAAAGTGTTGTGACGAATTAGCTTTCAATTTTAAATGAAATATAATAGTCAGAATACATAATATCGTCACTAAGTTTAATAGTTCAAAGGTGCAATGGATTATAGTCATTTGTGAACATACATAATAAGTGTACGAGAATTTTTAATTCATGTGTATATTCCAACTACGAAATACTAGGGCATTTATGAAACCATATAAGGTCTTCATTTGTAAAACTAAAACTTTTGATTTATGTCTGGCAGATTTATCTTCCACGAACCGACGGCCGCTGAAAACATGGGAGCACTGGACAACCATTTCATCCCAGTACGGAACTTCTAAGCAGTGTCAATCCACAATTCCAAACACAGGAATCTAACCCAAGACCTTCGGTTGCGTGAGAAAACGCTCAAACTCTAGACCAATAAGCCGTCATCCACGATATTCAGCCATCACTTTCCCTTGTGTTTGGTGGATAACTGCTCCACACCTGACTCGGTTATGTATACGGTTTTTACCTATTTCATAAATGTAACAGAAGCGGATGCTTGTTGGTTGGTTTGGGGTTCACACTTTCCATTATTTGCTTATTACCTAACAATTTATATTGTCTCTACCAGATACCTAATATATAAAATAACAGATGAACCACTGCTGTTGGATTTCATTCCATTGTTTTAATGCCGCAGTTTTATTACTGACACCACTTATAATTCGTTGTTATTATGATATTCACTGCAACTAGAAATATAAACCATTAGACACTAACCTAATGGTCTGAATATTAAGAGCTCGAAGTAACACCTGAATTTTCGTGTTTCAGTTACTAGGGAGAGCCACAGATTCACAATGCTGAGGATACTCATTCCAAACCTACTGGTTTTCAGTAGGTTCAGAATCGATTTAAATGTATAAAAGTTCAAATATAAATAACAGCTCTATATCTCTCTATTGGTATATTCAATCAACTGACTAAGTATTCAATCTTTCTACAGTTTTTTGGTTGGGATTTAGAAAAAAAATCGACAGTTTTGTGAGAAAATCACTAGTTCAGTCACTATAATCATATTCTATCATTTTGTCATTTATTGTCATCATTGTTACCATTCGAATCAAGTTTTATTAACCGAATATCACATTTTTTGTTACTAGTATATATATTCAAGCATAAAACAAACTGGATTAATTGAAAGTTATACTGTCTATTTACACTTCATTTATTTATTTTTCAAATATGATTCCAAAGTTTATTCAATAGTAAACTGTGTTTTGTTTTAATGTTAATTTTCAGACTATTTCACTTCATTTTGATATCTACAGTTACGTCATCATCATCATCGTCGTCGGTATTCTATCAAAGTAAATTTGTAATATTCATTGATTTACTAACGTGAACTACATACATTGGAAACCATGAAATCAATGTACATGAATATGAACTCATGTAAAACGAGGAAAGATATCGCTGTAAGATAATTATGGTTTTATGTTTTATTATTATTCTGAATTATTTATTTATTTCTAATGTTTATCGGATGATAAAAATGAGGTCATTATGAAGTGAACATTATTTATTCTAGACAATTACAAATAATAATATAATTTGAAATATTTAAACTATGATTCATTTCGGATTGTTTATTTGAATCTTCCCATCAATGTTTAGGACTGTCATTGATTAGTGTATTATTCGTAATATGTTTATCTTGTGTGGGTTGCCTCGAGATTGTCTTATTTTACAGGCATTATAAGCAAAAATGGGTAGATAACGCGATGGTGTTTGAAATGAACGGTATTAGGTTCGAGTCCAAGGGTGAACATCAACTCTCGGATGTGGGTATATCCCGTTGATGAGTCGTAACTAGGACGAAACGTGAGTCTTGAATTCCACTGCTAGCCATCATCCATCTTTGCTTATGATACCAAAACCATGTTTGAAATTTCTATAAAACCCTGGGTCACAGTACGTATACATATAATGCTAGGAGTATTAGTTCTCGAAATATTGTTAATATATCTCATTGATAAGAAATGCCAATCTGTGCTTCGAATAACATCTATTAAGCTCTTCAAACCAACTAAAATCAAGTGAAGTACACAGTGTTATAGTATCAGTAGTTGCTATATAGTAACATGAATGATAGAATCCAATCAAGGTTAAACAATACAACATTGGTTACTATTAAATGACCAATTAGTGAATTTTCAATAAATAATCGAATTAATTGAAGCTACATTTTCACATGAAGGTTTGTTTAATTTAAATTGGCGCACCATTTCGGATAAAGAAATCGATAAAGGGATAAGAAACCATTTCAAAGTTGCATAGTTATATGTAGATTTTACATAGTTTAAAAGTTGTGAGGACAGTCCAGTGGTGAACTCAAGGAAGCTTCTTAGCTCAGAAACAGCCGAAGATATCCCATCCAATCATCTTTTGGAAGAATATACAAGAGTCCCTATGTGGAGCTTCCCTCTTGGACAAATGCTAATAACCCCCTGTTTGCGGATTGGAGGACTACAATGATGATTTCGTTTTTACTAAAAACTATAAATACCTGTATCATAATTGACACTGTTTGGAATGGCATTCCTTTCATTCATTTTCCGTCTTTTCATTTGCAACTTGTGAGTGTTCTAGCGTTCAAGTGCTCATGTTTATATACGTGGTATATGAAGAATCTAAGCTCTGTATCAAATGAGAGGTCACTAGGATTCTTGGTGAGAATTAAGTTGGCGTAGTTAGCTATGAACCAACATTATTTGGTATAACTACTATAAAAAAATAGTTTTCATCAGTTGTTTGTAGATCATCATCATATTAAAAGACTAATATATGAATGAAGAATATTCTTTTCAATAAATTCTATTCAGATTCAACAATTATGTATCCGAATTAACAATCCGAAAAGTGGCCAGGTTTAGGGTAAAGCGCTTAAAACTTTCATATGCTCGAATAATTCTCCCCAATGCACGAATGCTTCATTTCTATATGGGATCCCTCATCAATGAGCATTCATGACCCTATCTGGAATAGAAACCAGGACTTTCGGTTCTGAAGCGAACGCTCAGTGATTTAAAAGTCAAAGACTCGACACTCTCCAGTTCCTCATGGTTTCAATGATTGTCTTACTAAGATCAGTTCGTGATGTTAATATTAAAAATCATTATTTATAAAGTTTATCAACTGAACAATCGTTACTTTAGCGCAAAATCACAGCTAGTAAGTTAGTATAATTGACATCCCAAGAGACAAATACAAGAAAATTATATTGAATTAAGTAGTACAGAAGTAAATAAACGAAAATTGTTTTAATCTCATTTGCAAATTTTTCTTTTAGATTGATTTTCCCGCTATACATTATACCTTTAAAGATTCAGCATCCTTAACAATATATCACTTCAATGATAGAAAAAAGAAATAACTATTACGAGAATGACTTGATTTCTGTTTTTTGCACAAAACCATTCAAATAACTGGGTTTTTTTCCACAACCCCTATACTGATTTCTTCTTTCTATTTTCAAAAGATACAAAACTATTTACGTTATGTTTTTTTATTGGTTAAAACGGTTTAAGACCAACAAAATATTCTCCAATTTTCAACTCACGTTATTAGTGGTAGTCATCACTATGGATGATTGTCATTGTTTTTTTCAAAAACGATGTTTAGTTCTTTTCTGCAAAATTATTTTTATTTGTTTTTTTTCTTTATTTTACATAATAGTAAAATAGTAAGACGAATAGTAACAAAAAACAGTCATATTTATTTGGTTTAATGTTTTCTTTTTTGTGTTGTAACTTATTACCGAATGCATATAAAGAATGAAATTTCCACACTCGACTAAACTATCGTGTTCATGAAGTTGTTATACTCATGTATTTATGTATGGTAATATGTAGTAGGATGGCATGCCGCCTCTCTCTCTCTCTCTCTCTCTATATATATATATATATATATATATATATATATATATATATATATATATATATATATATATATATATGTATATATATATATGTATATGTATATATGTATATATATCACGTCAAGCTTTTCTGCAGTTTCAAAAATACTACTGGTTATCTACTTATGAACAAAACAATGAACTGAGTGAAAAAAAGTGAAGGAAAGGCAGTTTGAAAAATATTAATTTTCATGTCTACTGATAATTACTGCATTACTACTATTATTTTTAGTAGTAGTAGTGTTGTTTTTATCATTATGTACACTTTCTGAATTTCGTACAAATATTTAAAGTAATAATAATAATGAATATATTCAAAGATTCAAGATAAGTTAGGAAAAGAAAATAGTTGTGTTAGTGTATGTGTGTGTGTTTATATGAGAGTGAAAGGATGATGAAATAGTGAAAATAAGAACAATTTATAGAAGGTACAAAATATCATAATTTCCATGAATACGATTAATACTTTTCCATTTGTGTTATCCATAGTTAGTTGATGTATATTTGAATATGTGAATGGAGTGTGTGCAGTTGTGTATAGATCAGTTTCTTTTTTCAGATTTTTAGTTAATTGTCAGCAAAGGCAATCAAAGTAGTAACAGATAATGTTACTATATTAGTAGTATCAGAATATTAATGGGAAGAATGTTATATTACAAAAAACAATTCTATTGAATTATATATAATTTCTTATTTTTACCCCATAGTTTCTATGGCAACGTTAACTCATGCACATATACAAATAACAAACAAAAAAACCCCAAAATTTGTATATTGTTGATTAGTTGCAAGTAACGTAGACTATTTGACATTGTAAAGTTCGTCTTTTTAAAAAAAATGTACAAACTAATTTAGAATGACTTTGTTGAATTTTTAATGACATGAACTTCTTTTATTTCAACATGTAACATAGATCTTGATTAAATTCTTCATTAATAAATGAAGGGAAAAAATTTAATTTAACGCAATCAAAGCAACTGAAGAATATTCTAGGGAGAGAAAAAATATTAAAAATAGAATTTTTCTTTCAAGTTATTTTCTCATTAGTATTCCTCATTAGAATTTAAGATTAGCTGTACATAAGCCTGGGTAAGGGAGTTTATATATATATATATATAAGGACAGAGTTCCTACAGTTGAAAAACTTATGGAAATCAAAACAACTGTCAACAACAGTTCTGCTATACAAAGCTGAAACTTGCAGAACTACTAAAACCATCATCAAAAGGGTATATGTATTTCTAAACAATTGTCTACGTAAGATACTCAATATCCGTTGGCCGGATATCATCAGCAACAGCCTACTGTGGGAGAGAACAAGCCAGCTTTCAGCTGAAGAGGAAATTAGGAAATGACGTTGGAAATGGATAGGACACACATTACGGAAATCATCAAACTGCATCACGATGCAAGCCCTAACTTGGAATCCTGAAGGGAAGCGGTACAGAGGAAGGCGGAAATACACATTACGTTGGGAATCGTAAGCAGATATGGAAAAAATAAATATCAACTTGAAAGGATTCCCTAGGACAGAGTTGAACCGAGAGTGTTCGTTGGTGGTTTACGCACCTCAGTGAGAAGTAACAGGCGTAATTAAGTACCTTTTGAGTAATATATATAATACTGGATTGTATAATTAGTACCAATTAACTGGTTATCAGTTTATCAACACTATACATGAAGTTAACGGTTTTCAGTGTAAATTATTGGAAACATGAGAGCCAAAGTTTAACACTGTTGAACATATGACATTTGTCACTGATGACTTTGAATGATCTTCACATTATATCGCAAATTAATTAGAGCTCTAAAATTGAGCTATTGAATTTTCCAACTGACTCATACAGAAGGTCTTACATGTTTATCATGATATCTAGGTTAAGTTGTTTGAATTACGCTGCTTCAAATATAAATTAAACAACCATCCAGTAATTTTCTTATTATTCCAGTTCATAAGATAAGCTATCTTTAAACTAATGGTGAGTTCGATAGATGATGTAATTTACGATTTAGGATTGGTGCAGATTCACATTATAAAGTTGAATGATTTATCAACTAAATAAATTAGAATAGATTTTTAGCAGTTTCTATAGTAAGCTATGATCATTTCGAAAAGTCTTTTTATAAGTGATCAAATAATTTGGTTAATTGTCATAGAATCATGAAAGTCAGGACGAGTTTTATAATTAGGAATATGATTTATAATTAACTCATTATCAGTTTTATGAAGTTTTTATTGATTTTAGACTCTACTAACTACTCAAATGAAGAGTTTTATTTCTTTGCTCTATTTCTATTTTATATTGGAGTTCAACTCTATTTGTAGCTATAAAGTTGAGTGTATTTATTACATAACTATTGAAATATGACGGATCAATATTTTATATTGTTTAACCATACGAAACGATTACATAAATAACTTATTTCAAATAACCATATTTCTTATTTGACCGGAGTATATTTTTTATTTAGGAAAAAGCTATTGTGTAAATGACTCAGATTTTCGTGACTTAAAACCACTATTCAAAATTAAGTTGTACATATTTGAGAAAGTTGGTTATTTTATATATTATATATTAACATGGTCTCACCTATTTCAACAGATCTTGTCAACTTGTATCGGAATAGATTGAAAGAAAGCTATAGGTGGTTGAACCTAAAATGTGACTTCAGTCTATGAAGTCATTGATCTCTATTTTTTATGACCTATGTTGACTTTTTTAGAATACCTGGTTGGAGTCCACTAGTTTACCGTAATCAGAGGCTAGAGACGATGAATGATGTGGCTTAAAATCGGCCACACTAGTACAGATCTATTCACCATTTATCTTCTTTCAAATTATTAGATTCATTATTCCTTTGTATATAATCTTTCATAACTTCTTTCTGAACAATATTTTAAACGACATGATTGAAATATATGTAACGTAAATAAACATTTAATTTATTCATATCAGAAGGGGTTTTTGTGGATATTATAGTAACTTGAATAGTTAAGATCATGAGTCAATTAAAGCTAGACCACCATGAAAAACCCGGAAGCACTGGACGGCCGACTCGTCTTATTGTGGTACTCCTCAGCAGTGAGTATCCACGATCCCGCCCCGCGAGATTTAAACCCAGGATCTATCAGTTTCGCGAGCGAACTCTTAACATCTAGACCATTAAGCTGACCGGCATCCAACAGTGTTAATGTCTAACTTCAACTAATCCACGAAATTGAGCAACATATCCACCATTATCTTCAGTGAGTTACTATCTCACAATAAATCTGATTGAATTTAACTGATTTATTTATTATTCAGGTTGTTTATTGTTTAGTTTGCTAGGAAGACACAATCGAAAAAAAAATTGTTAAATATATGTTGAAGGTATTAATTATTATGTAATTATTTTCGAAAATTTATCGTTTAAAAATTCAGAAGAGAAATCACAGTTTTTACAAAGGAACTAATCACAAAATCTTTCTATCTCTATATTCAAGATCTGTTCAGATAAATATTTAACTATGATCATTATTTAAATGAATGTTCAAATTGATTTTAGCAGTATGCCATTTTTATTCTTTCTAGAAATAAAGTTCTCTTTCGAATTCTATTGTCGTTCCTATGTAGTTGATTAGTTTTGTTGCATTCCTTTTGTTTAAAAATGGTGTAATTTATAATGAAAATATAGTTGTGTTTTTTTCTAATTCTTAACACAATTGGCATTACTATTTTGCACCTTTTCTTTTAACTAGTATTTATGTATCTATGTGCGTATGTATGTATGTATGCATATATATATATATATATATATATATATATATATATATATGTATGTATGTATGTATGTATGTATGTATGTATATTTGTATGTAAATCTGGTTTAAAACTGAAATTATTCTAGTTATTTGTTAAAAGAGATATTTCTGATATTAAAATTATAATGAGCTAGTAACTGTCTACGAAAATAGATTTGAATAGAAATAAATGAGAGAAAAGTTACCCAGATATATATATATATATATATATATATATATCAGTGATTATGTTTATCAATGGTTGAATATTCTCCTTTATATCAAATGTGTATGCGTATACATACATAAGTACATTTTTTTTATCTTTAAGAAATCTTATACATTTAGGAAATAGTTAAACTCAAATGTTAATGAACCTAACTAAAAAAAGTAGACTAACTACTTATAAGTAGATTAGTTACTATTTATTACATTTTTTTAATAGTTTAAAATATATTTATGTCGAACATTTACATAATTTATAGTTTACATGTTAGTTTCCATTATGATATAATACATGAACTAGAGTAAAAACTAATGCAAACCAACGGATAATTGATTAATCATAATGATAACTAAGAGTTCTCTTTTCAGCGAATTCATTTTCAAAGCTGTACAATCTCTAATATTATCAGAAGGGTTTTGTGAAGATTTAAAAAATTTCACCAGTTGAGATCATGAATCATTTGAAGATAGACCACCATGAAAAACCTGAAAGCACTGGACGGCCGATTCGTCCTAGTATGGGACTCCTCAGTAGTGCGCATCCACGATCCCACTAGTGACTGACTTCAAGAGACACTCCTGGAGTTCTAGTGAGAAGCTGTTACCAGTGGAGTTCAACCAGGTCTGTTGTGAGATATCAACCCACTGAAGACAACAGTGTACAGTGGCGCAACTTCATGGATTGCTTGAAATTAGAAATTAACACTGTTGGATGTCGGCCGTCTCAGTGGTCTCGTGGTCAAGCGCTCGAGCGCGAGACTGACAGGTCTGTGATTCGTATCTCGCGGCGGTGGGATCGTGTGTGCCAACTGTTGAGGAGTCTCACAATAGGACGAAACGGCCGTCCAGGGCTTCTAGTTTTTCCATGGTGGTTTAGCTTCAACTGACTCATAATTTCAACCAGTGAAATCGCAAATATATATACTTATTTTTACAGGATGATAATGATACTAATAATAAACTTCTGTTAGGTATGTTGACAGTGAGGTCAAATAAACAAAGTTATTGAAAAATTTTATTAAAAACAAGGAAAGTTTAATAATTGTTTGATTGTTAGTGGCTTAAGTATTCATCAAAATATAGATAGGGAAATTATCATTGGGAACGGATAGCTTAGCATGATAATATAAATGTTGAAATAGAGATTAAATGTAATGAGCATGATCGAGAAGACAAAATGAAACTTGGGAGTAGAAAATACAAGGGGGAAGGGGAGGGTTTTCGGCTTTCTTCTCTTATCAATGACATTCGAAGGATATCCGTTTTTAATAGGTATCTCTTTCAGGTGGCCAAATGATAACTATCTATTGTGTTAATGTTTATGTTTCTTAGGTTAAATGATTTATTTTTTGAACTTTCATTATCGTATTCAACGACAATAATATCAGCTCTTGATTCATGGAGAGTAGTAAGCTTTTCAGTTATTCTACAAATTTTATATTCGTTCATTCTGATGATTATGTTTATGACTAACTGTCTCTGTTGATACATATTCTAGGATTAAGATTGACTGTCACTTTCGATTTTGATTGTGATTGACTGTGATTACTTTAAGTATTATGTATTGGTTGATAGATTAGATTTATGCCTCTATATCTATTGATTATTAACTGATCTAATTGTTATACTTCAAAAAAACCTCTGGAATTTTATGAGTTTATTCGACGCCAAAAAATGTTCAATTTTATTTTTATGATTGTTCATGTGAATTTTATTACATTTTATTTTATTCAAACCGAAAGACAATAAAAAGAAAAAGTAAGTCAAATTCAATATAAGCTGCAAAATAAATTAAACCAACAACGAAGAATGTTACACTGGAAACTGTGGATGCCTTCTTCACCAACACATATGAATACAAATTAACTGTAATATATGTTATCAATGATATTAATACCGGAAGAATACTAAAGCATCCACCATAGCCGCTAATCTTATTCATTATAATTGTCTATCTATTTACTGAAAGTAAACGAGCGGGAACACTTTGATAGTTGTTTACAGAGGAACTATATTCGTCGCAAAGTTCTAAAATAAATAAGTACATTTGTAATAAAATCATCGATTGGCTATTCTAGAGAATATCCAACTAGGATTTTAATTGATTCTATATTAGATTTACTAGTTCAAATACTTATATATCATAGTGGACGATAATTCTATGACATAATTGGCCATAACAACATAGAAAAATAGTCATCACACAAAATTAACTAAAATATTTAACTGTTAGAATAAATGAAGAACATTATTGATAAAAACAAGTACAATCAAGGTTTCTTGTTGACTTAAATGCGGTTCAGCTATTTTATGACAATTATTGTGAAATACTAAAATTTTCTAGTTTATATTGTTTGTATTAGTTTATATATTACGTAATCATCACTGATTGTCAGCAATTTTGACAAACACCTAAACAACAACTGTTTCATACATATTTTGTTTTATCAAAGAAAAAAACAGTCTGATATTTCGTGAAATATCCATTCAAATTTTTATTGACTTTTTTTCTTCATATTCCTCTTTTGTCACACCCCTCCACTCACCAAAAACCATCCAGATACAAACAGATTCAGCATCAGAATATTCTAGTGAAACGGATGGTTCTGACGAGTCAGAGATAAATAATTATTCAGGTTGTGATTCAAATTTAATATCATCTAAATTATCAACAAATTCTTCTTCTCAAGCTATACAATCTACCATAATCGAATTAACTGATGTAAATAGTAACAATAATAAGGTTAATGCTTCATCACATAATCTACCTGGCTGTGATATTAATGCTACATCATTTCCATCGGATACAACTGGACAATTAATGCAAAACCCACAGGTACAAAAGTCGGATATAGTCGTAAAACCTGATTCTCGACAAGTATACTTCAACTCATCAGTCGATACTCACAATAGTATTAATAATAATAATAATAGTAGCACCATCAACCACAGTAACTTATCAGATTGTGATAAACGTAATAGTTCAGCTAGTCTTGACAGTGGACGAGATTCTACATACGCTACGGGGAGTGAAGGCAGTAGTGGGGTAAGTATTATAATTGTTTTATGTACTTCTTTTTATTCACATTCATTTTGTTTTTCCATTAATATATATTCAGTCGTCTTCAATCGGTAAAATAATAGCTTTTTGTTACGAGTTTACATCTATTGAAGGATCAATAAAAATTAAGCATTAGTGAACAATTATTTCAATTTAATTCGCAACTTCTTAACATTGTTCACACTCATAAACTTGAGAAGGGCGTATTCGTAGTTCTACAGATTCCACTATGATTATAAAATCATTCTATCATGGAGTCTCAATCCAAGTGTCGATGATAGATATGTTGTTGTTCACATCCAATAACCTTGGTCGGTAACTGACTTAAGCCTGACTTGATTTGATCCACAGGTCTAATGTTCAAGCATTGAGAAGTATGTCAGAAAATTGTTTTTCGTTTGGTTGATTACATGTACTTGAAATGCTAAAGAATTTTTTATATTGGTGCCCGGAACGGCAATTGATATGTACATCTTGTGTAAACTGCTTCGATATTACCATTAAATCACAAGCATTATGCGTAGAGTTGGACAGTAGCTACCAGGTACATCCAGCTGACGAGTTCAAAATAGGACGAAACGCACATCATTGATTCAATTGCTAGCCACCATTCAACTTTGTTTATAATTTTCAAAATCTGTCTTGTAAAATGATAATAATAATAATTTTTATTATTATAATAGCATGATCTACGAAATTAATAAAGTCGGTTGCAGGCTGATTCAGTCACTTGTCTGGTTAAAGATTGACATTTAGATAGATAAAACTTATTCATTTAAATTTGAGTCACACGCTTTTTGCGTACCAGTGCTATCTAACTACACAGACTGAAACATTTAAAATGGGCTACAAACCCGTCATCTGATAATTTTAGGTCTATTGATTTTACCACTAAACCGTTCATCTAGCCAACAAAGTACTTAAATATTCAATAAAATAAGAAAAAGTCTATTTATCTTTAAGCCATTCAAATTAATTTCTTCTTAGCGTCTTTTTCATTCGTGTAAGTAGTTGACAGTGACAAATACATATAAAATCTTATAATTGATACATGTAAGGGCTAATAATCATAAAATCCTCATGGTCTAGAGGTTAAGCGTTAGCGCGGCAGACCAAAAGCCCTAAGTTCGATGCTCACGTACGGAATCGTGGTTGCGAACTGATCGTAAGTCCTATACTAGAGCGAAAAACCTATCCAATGCTACCAGATTTTTAATGATAGTCTAGCTTATATTGATTCGTGAAGTCAACTATTAAAATTACTACAATCTCCACAAATCCCCATACTAATAATATTACGGAACTTAAATTTATATTATTGAAATAAATTTCATGTATTTTTAATACAAATTACACAGTCCATTAGCTACAATGTAGGACCAGGCACATACATGCATCGGTCCAAGTTGCCATACCTCATTAGCACAACAAGATGAACACCGGATTCATAGAACTAGTCAATTCAATGGTGGTAATATATAAAAGACAGTTTGCATATAACGACATAGTACAGGAAGAGAGAATTAGTTCGTAGAAATAAAGATATGAAGCGATTTTAATCTCATAGTTTAAAGGAAGACAGATAGTGTATACACCTATACCATTGTGATCGATTCCGAGTCATGTCATCCACAGTCTCCAACCATTGGTTACGATAGTCACGCGGACCCCAACCAAGTAGTCTGCATCTACCAACATGGCTAAGACTAGAACAAATTACACAAGAAATACATTTAATCAATAATAAGTTGTTTACATTGTGTGAAATTAAATTCAACGTTTTTGTTTCTAGTTTTTAAAAAATTATTTTCAAAATAGGCATGTGTCCAGTTTTTGTTTATTTTTTAAAGTGAGGTAATTAATATTTCATTCTAATTATAATTCAATTAATGAAAATTAATTAATTCATTTATTATATTTTGATGGACATAAAATAAGTCATGACCTTTGAAAAAGTCACTTCTAACAATATACATTTCCGAATGTCTGTACTTGTACCCTTTTTTTCAGGTAGCTTATGAAGATTAATTCAATTTTAATAAAATTTCCATGAAATAGACTGATATCAGTTGAAGATAATCTATAAAGGTCAAATCTTGACGGTTGGTGGATAAATTCAATAGTTGAAATCATCAGTCAATTGAAGCTAGACCATCATGGAAAACCTGGAAGCACTGAACGGCTGATTCGTCCTACTGTAGGACTCCTCACTAGTGTGCATCCACGATCCCGCCCCCCGTGAAATTCGAACCCAGGACCTATCAATCATGAGACGTTAACAATGTTGGATGCCGGTCAGCTCAGTGGTCTAATAGTTAAGCGCTCGCGCGCGACACTAGTAGGTCCTGGGTTTGAATCTCGCGGGGCGGGATCGTGGATGCGTACTAGTAAGGAGTTCCACAATAGGACGAAACGTCTGTCCAGTGCTTCCAGGTTTTCCATGATGGTCTAGCTTCAATTGGCTCATGATCTTGACAATTGAAACTACCAAAATCTCCACAAAACGCCTGATAAAAAATCTTATATTGTTAAATGCTTTCATTATGATCAAAAATTTGCAATATTGTTATGTAGAGTGTTACTTTCTCTGCTAATAAACCTATATATCATTTCACTTATCGATCACTCAACATGTATATAAATCGTTATCGTTTCAAATCTAATTACAAACAAGTTGGAATAGTACTTGTGTCGTCTAACATTCAACAACATTCAATAGTTACATTTCAAATTGAATATTCTAAGTAGAGGAGAAGTGTTAGAATAAATGCAGATAGATAAAAGAATTTATTGTACATGACTTGGTTGTTTACCTCACTTTTATCTGAATAGACAGGTAATTCGCAATCTGTGCCATCTTTTTTGGTTTGTATTAAAAACATACCCTTCAACCTTTGTAAAGTGCAATGTAATCATAATGATAATTAAAATAGTAATAATAATAATAAACTTACTGCTGAAATCAAACATAACCTAAAATGGCTTAGAATGATTCACGTAAATTAGTGAACAAAAAGTTTTGTTAGAAGCTACAGATTTTCAACTATCTACTTATAAGTTTCTTATGATTCTGTTAGGATTTGAAAAGACCTGCTATCACGGGTTTACGTAGTTTGCGAACGAGATCGAGATTCGGTGACCAACGACCAGTGAGTTAGTTAATGACGCGTCCCAGCCCCAGCTATTTAGAGGGAAAAGTCCAGGCTTGAAATGAGAAGTACATTCTTCAACAACCAGAAACGAGCGATTCAACCAAAACAACTTAAAACGTATATATACAATATATATAATCGATATTGTCATTTAAATTTTTAAACATTCATCAATAAGTTCATCAATTGACTGCTATTCAAATATTTAAACATTTAATCGATAAGTTAATCGATAAATTTACAAATGTGAGTATTCGGGGGATTTATCGTCCTCAACAGATTCATACATGGCTTTTCAATATTCTCATTAAAATATTTATGATACATATATATGAGTAGAGTTTCATCTGGAACTATAGACCATACATTCCATCAATGTTGTCAAAGTTTGTATTGAATAATAGGTAGACAATGTGGCTTTATTTAATAACGATTTGTGGAATACATATGTTGGTATCTTTAATATGTACACTATAACAGTAACTATTATATAGTATAGCCATGAAAAGAATTTCTTCTTAATTAATTTTGGATAATCAAAAGAGTAATCTATCCTTGTTGAAATATACTACTAATGACAGAGTGCATCAGAACAATTTATAATCTTGAGTATCTTTGCGTTCATACAGTATCATTCCTATGCGAAATATTCCTCCTTATTAATCGAAAAAAGAAAATTTCACATTTCTTTATAAATATTTCTTTTGATAATTACTGAATATCCGAATGATAAATATTAGTGTATCCGTGAACATTTCGTATACTTGAGTAGTTGTTGAAGTGCAAATAAGAAATAAAGAGATGAGATTTTTCCCTGTATAATAAATATTAGAGTAGTATATTGACTGAGAATGTTCAATGAGTTTTCATGTTTGACGTGCAATATTTCTATAGTAACACTCAAATTCGTTATCAATTACAGATAAGTCGTTTCGGTATCGTGTTTTGAAGATATATCGTAGCTCATTACTTGTTCAGTGAAAGTATTCTATAATACAGGGTTTAACTGATTAGACACGTCGTACTAATACATTCTCAGTTGCTATCATGTTGATCATCGTTTGCGTTCATAGTGACTAGTTAGAAGAGACAGTTGTACGGTTAACTTATGTTTATTGATTAACTGTTAATATACTAATACTTAAAACAATAGGTCATAGACTAATCTGGTAGTGAATGAGTCACACTCTTGTTTTCTAATCTTCTGTTAGAAAATAAATGACAATCTAGGAGTCCCATACTAGAACGAAGCAGCCATCCAGTGCTTACAGGTTTTCAATGGTGGTCTAGCTTAGAACAACCCATGAATTCAACTATTAAAATTGCTAAAACCTCCACAAATCCTCATTCCGATAACTATCTAGGTGTGTCTGTTTTTACATCTTGATGTCGTTTCTTATTATCTGTCGTTAAATCTCTATAGGAAATAATCAAATCCTAATTTATGAAGTGTATGTGTAGTGTTGTTTTACTGCGTAGACTACAGTTGAATCAGTTGAGTATATGAATGAGCTGTTTTTTTATCACTATTATCTTGAAATTTACAGAATAACTGGAGGTGGTAATACACAGACCCATACACAGATACAAAGAAACATCAACATATTAGACCTGAAATGATCCCGATTAATGGAAATGAACAAACAAACACTAAAATATTGTTTTTTTCTCAAAGAATGAATATTTCTTATTAATTTATGTATGCTTTCCTGTCCGTCTTGAATTTACTTACAACCTATTCAGTTAATTTATCTAAAAAGCATCACTGAACTCGCGGTTGCTATTACCACCCACACACAAATGCAACGAATCAATCATACGTTTGCCCTTTGAAAATTTAAAGAAAAAATCTACTTGAGTATGAAACTAATAATTATGCATAGGATATCTACATCTTGATTTACTTTTTGAAAAGTATGGATAAACAATGTAAATAGGTAGATTAAGAAAGCAGCTGAGAAGAATATATATGTATAGAAGGTCAGTAGCATATCATGTAGCTTAGTAGTAACGCCTCAGACTGTGAACCATAACGAAATAGAATTGAGTCCAATATGGAGCATTAATCCCTTTAAGATCACAGATACACATTGCTTAAGACTTCCAACTTGCAGGGAACCTATATCCAGGGTTTTCTGTTGATTACCTCTAACCATCTAACAGAACATACCATTCTTTGTCCTTTTCAGACTAACATTAAAACGAGCCTATGCTTTCTTTGGGCTATTTTCAGTCGTGAGTTTATTTAAGCGTTCTTCTGAATTAGTATGCAATTTTTAAGCAGTTGGATCACAAAATTTGCTGTTCATCCCCTTTGTAGTCTCATGAATAAATTTTACGATATCGTGAGCACAAAGCATTATTATTTCGTAATATTTTCTCCCCTAGTTTTTGGAAAATGTGAAAATTTTTCAGTTCTCGTTTCTATATAGGTTTTCTGTAGACTGATATTCGTATTGATTTATCATTTCTTTTAGTATGTAGGACTTCCAGAAATGATAGTTTTGACTCATATTCTTGTGAAGTTGTAAGTTTTTAAGTGATGGTTGGAAAAAGCCTATTAGATAATACGTTGGAAATTTACTGTAAAAGGTACTGGGTCTCGAGTCTCAATGTAAACGCTAACACTGTGATACATATACATCCAACCAATAAAGTCCCCAAAAAGGGCAAAAATCGTATTCTGCATTACATTTGCAGCTACGCACCAAATATACTAAGACAAGATAAATGTTCACATCATTCGAAAGTTCACCAGTTAGTTTCAGTTCATAATGAAGATTACATTCAATATATTGACAAAATGTTGATTTTTCTCAAAACCGTTTCTACAAAAATATCCCAAAATTTTTCTGTTCGCAGGTCCAATATCCTCAACAATATTCTTCAGATGATGGGTATATTCTATCACCAACTTTACCGTACTGTTATAATAGTCAAATGTCAAGGAATAACATTATCTCAAATCGTAAAAGTAATCATAATTCCAGCAGTTGTACATCATTTGATAATACCTCCTCATTACCAGTAGCAACGATATTACCATTTTGTAATCATAGTAATTCGACTATTTATAACGTTAGTAATTGTTGTGTGAATAATAGTAGTAGTAATGCTAGTAGTAGTCATAGCAGAAATTCTTCATGTCATCAATTAAAACAATACCATCAACAGTTCAATAAAGATGATACCTTGACATCACCAACACACAAGTATAACAATAATAGCAGTATAGATAATAAAATTGTCAATTCTATGCTTCAATGTACAGAGCCTTACGAATATTATCATATTCCATCATATCAATCTACCAGGAATTGTTGTTCAACTACTAACCTTATCAAACTATCAACGTCACCGTCATCGCCAACACAACAGCAACAATCATTTTTGCCGTCCTATTCATCGTGTCAAGAAAGACATTTCACTGATTTTGATGCTTCAAGGCTAAAAGCACCAGCAAATATGTATCATCAATCACAGATTCTTTCGAATGTGCCAATGCAATCAGTATATAGTAATCAATGCCAACAACAATCAGTTCATTCTGTTTTAATCAATCCCGATGATGAAGCATTATTTGCATGGTTAAGATCAGTTGGTCTTAGTCGGTAAGTGAAGAATAAAGTATTTCTTTAGAAATGCAACTTTAATATGCTGTATCGGGTTGATACAGACTATTGTGTTACGTATCCCTAACCACAGACTACCTCGATGTACGATTTTGGCCGGTTTGAAAGCGGATTGGATGGAAGCCAGGGGTGACTAAAACTAGTTTAATAAACATTCGTGCTCTTTGTGCTTGGCTGACCAACTGATAAAGTACAATTTAGTAGTGTATTTGTAATCATTTTATTACATGGATAATTAACTGGTTGACTGAAATGTTTGAGAGAAATGAAGACTTTGATGATACCATCTTAAATGATCATCCCTTGTTGAGATTATAGACTCTTAAGTATGACGTAAAAAATTATTTTACCAGTTAGTAGTTTACTTCTCGGACTATCTTCGACAGATAAATAAACACTGGAGACTATGGAGCACTGTCTGGGAAGTACTGCATTGAGACTATTGACCAATACTCTCTGGTTTTTGATGTTCTGGCCAGCTACAATTCGTTCACGATGTTGGTTGGTGATCTTTCATTTGAGTGATCACCAAAAATCTTCCCATCTTAATAGTGATAAACAGTTATTTTACTAGGTAGTATTTAGGCGTTGTTGCACTGGATTCGAGAGTGAATAACTTAAGACAGATAAAAGCACCATTAGAAAACAAGCCTTGTAATTCTTAGGAGGGAATATTTTCTTAGTTAGGTGATTGGAGATAACCGAGAAGAAACCCTAGATACAAGCTTCGTGTTGGTTGGCACTCTTAAGTAAAATGTACTTGTAATCTTGTAGGAGTTGATGTTTCTTGTTGGAAAGGACCTCATTTCATCATATCTCACAATATGTGATGTTACCTCTGAACTGTTCGGGGTACGACTAACTTTCTGTGTGACGGGATATTTATAATTGATTAATCATTGGGTAGTGACCAATGTCATGTTTTTTTGTCCTTTTAGTTCCGAGAAAATTCTATTTCCTCTGACCTTCAAAACCATTTACTTGGGTTAAGAGTTCATTTTCTATTTGTCTATCGATTTCTTCTACTCAAAAATCGTCAATTAGTAATCATGTAACATTGGATGAATTTTAATTATGGATTTGAGTTTCTGTGATCTTATCATTTCTTTTAGTATTAACACACTCAGTTGATGAACACTGAATGCAACGGGATAAATGTTCTTGTGACGTTGAATATAATTATAAAATTATGACCGTTTTAAAGCCTCCTAAAACTATTGAGGATAGACAATAAATTTATTCTAGTTTAGAACTCTTCTTGAGTGAACATAAATGACCGCTTGGAACAAAAACAAACAGCTGATGTTCGGTTCTCATAATAAGTGAGATACCTTCAAGACGCTTGGTTCAGTGGTTTGGACTCTTAACCATAATTATTTTTCCATATAACATGATTCATATTGTATGACATTAGTAAGTTATTGTCTTATTCAGAATTCATATGAAAAGTCATAAATTGTAGAATTAAACAAATTACATAAAATCATTACAGAACGATGTAACTAAATACTGAAACTAAGATAGCTCATAATTCCACTGAGAATTGATAGGCCGAACTGATAAATCATCATTTAAAACAACTATAATCAAGACAGCATATCAGATATAAAAATTCTATCATGTTCTTCATCATAAATAAATTAATATATTTGTAATATCTCAATGAGTAGAAAAATTAGATTTTCTAACGTTTCGTGACTTAGTGTAAACTACTTCTTCAGAGAATATAACAGTCTACTTAATGCTCAATGTATGCGAACTTACCAAACCAAACCTTGATAATGATACCTTTTTCTTCATCAATTAAATTCCCAAAAATCTAATTCATTGTTTATTAATTTATTTTTTAATTTTCCTTTTGAAAATGAATTTTCGATATAGATTAAGTGGATGTTTATCTAAATCTGGGTTCGATCTATGGACATTGTGTCATACAACACCGGAAGAATTGAATGCTTGCGGAATTACTAATCCATATGATCGACAAACTTTGAGAAACCAGCTCGCTACTCTTCAATTATCTGATCCATTTACAGAAAAACAATTACCGGTAAAAATATTTATGAATTCTTTTTTATAAATTGAACAGTGCATTGTTGTGTTTTTATGTTAGGTGATTGAAGTTAGTCGGTAAGTATTCCTGGTATCGTACTAATTAGCACATGTCAATGAGAAGTACCTGCATTTTTCAGGTAACTGTTGCCATCAGAGTTACCGGGCTTCATAATCTGAGACATTATGGCTGAATCATTTGGGTCTAAGAACCAGACAAATATGACATTGGTGTCTCAACCCGTCGATCTATCAATGTAAATGCCTCAAACCTTTAGAAAGTTGGTTTCAGCCCCACTAACTTAATAATTATATCTCAGAATGCGATGTCATATAATGCGAGTTTGATCCCATTAGGGAACGTCATTTCCTCCAAGATTTCAGATAGATCTTTTTGAAGAGTGACAATTAGTACAAAACCAAAGTCCAGGGTTCTCTATTGGCTACCTGCAATCATTTAACGTCGAAACAAAATTGTCAGTCGCTTAGGTTGGTGGCTACACTGTAATTTGATCGATGGAATTCGATAAGCGCTAAGGACTAAATAGACATGATATCGGTCACTAGTCAATCATCAGTCAATGTTAATTTGTCTAGTTAAAATGAATTCGGTCTTGATATCAGCCGTTGAAAGCGTTCAGCTATTTTTGTTACCTTTTTGTCCATCAAATTTTCACTTGTTTATTTATGTATTCTACTACCTATATGTACTGTGATTATATTTAGTATCTGTCGATTCTGTGAACCATCGATCTAATGAACGTTCATTAAATACATTCAACTGACTTATTTATCCAGAAATTGACACAATAACATATATATTCAAATAAAGTCCGGATCAAATTAGTGATTGTGGTTGATAAAATAAGAACTGAACTTATCAGAACATGTATGAGATTAAGAAAAATGAAAGATTTGCGCGTGTTTTCAAAAAAACACACGGACATAATAATTAATCAAACAATCGGATCTATGATATTGTTACTATTGCAGGCACCAATAAATAAGTTACCATGATACAGTTTATTATGCTTCGTCTCATCTATTTAGATTATTCACATCTGTCTGTATGTATATGGTTTCAAATGTCAGTCCTTGTTTACAAGACCTACTATCTGTTTAAAAGATTTTGTTTTCATTGAAGTCAGTTTTTATGTCATACTTTTACTGAACGTTTTACAATTCCACAGATTAACCATACAATAATATTAAATCTTTACTGATATAATTCACACTTGTTGACACACGTTGGTAACTAGTTGAAATCAGTAAGTTGGTGAACAACACAGTGCTGTTTAAAGAAATAATTGCTAAGTTCGTGTTTCACTGTACGAAATCAACACTTAAATTTAAAGATATTAAACTGATGAATCCAGAATAGGACAAAACATATAAACTAAATTCTACTTATAGCCACAATCTAATTATACGAAAAATTTGTATTATGGATATTGATAATAAAAACCGTATCCATAATATTCGCTAAAGTTGATGGATAAAATAAACTAATGGATCAGGAAATACAATGTAAACTGTCTTGTGTCAGAAAGCACCATATGCCTGAAATAAATAACATGAATATGGGTAGTGATAAGAAATTGAATAGTTGAAGCAGATCATCTTATTATTCTGTAGAGAAAGAGATGGAAGGACAAACAGAGACAATTTCAATATATCGGAAATTTATCGCTTTATATTGCTACTTTTATTAATAGTCGTAATAGTAATAGTTAGGATAGTTAGGATAACATTACCATTCTTCCCCCAAGAGATATCTTATCATATTTATATTAACTGAAATATGATAAGATTTTACACGTATGATTCATACTTTCATACAGACAACCATACTTAGAAAATTTCCATAGAATTCACATATTATTTTGTTTAATTGTAAGTAATAATTTGTTATTACTGTGAGATTGTTTCATTTCATGCTCTGCATCATGATCTTATCTTAGATAATTATTAAGGACCAGGAAGTACTGAATAGCTATTTCCTGCCTGTTTGAAACTCCTCAGGAGCACGTAGTGTTATAGGGTCCCATACTCTGAAAATAGATTAGTCATTTAATAGAAAGTAGTAGAAGAAAATTTCGACTTGTTACCTAATAATTTTGAATTCACATGAGTATCATAAGTGGTATAAACACAGAAAAGGGTGTATGCAGAATAATATAAAGCGGGGAAAGATGAAACAAAAATTGCTGTGAGAGATTTTAATTACTATAGTATATTGGTAACGGATTCGAACCCTTGTCATGAAGATAACTGTTTCGGCTGAGACAACTAATATTCTATAGGATTGTATTATCTTGATATTGAGTGATTATTTGGTTGTCAATGTTTGTCTCATACTACTTATAAGGTTAAAATGTGGTTGCTAGTCGAAATGACTCTCAAAATTACGGTACACTTTGACAAACTAATTGGAGATTGAATTACAGGAGAAATTTAAATGTGATGGAAAGTTGTATATTTTCATGCAATTGTATTTTAGCTAATCTTCACAGTTGTCAAGAGCTAGACATCGTGAACAGTACAGAGTTGTGACTAATAGACCTTTTATGATTTAAAAAAAGATTTACCCTATTTTATTCAGTATGAGATCGATTAGTGGGTTGAGAATCCATTCCATATTAAAACTGGGTATATTCTCATATGAAAAGCAATAGTTGTAAACTAATTTACACTTTTCTTCAATAAAAATCGAACAAAACTCATCTTATATATGTAACGGTATCCCAGTGTTGATATTTATACTGAAACTTGAACCTAGTACCTATGATTCCAAATGCCAACATTTCATTCACAACTGATTGATCACTGGGTGGTGATCAATGTCATGCGTGTCTAGTCCTTATTAGCGCAGATCGAATGCTACCGACCATGGTGCAATGCGGCCATCAGTCTAAGTGACTCGACACTGTGGGCACTATTGTGAGATTAGATGGTGGTTGGAGGTAGTCGACAGGAAACCTGAGTTCAAGGTTTCCTGTCGACTACCTCCAACCGCCATCTATCTAACATTTCATTCGTCAAACTGATGATTATAAAGTTACTCACTAAGTGGTTACATGTAGTAGCCAAGTATCTGCCCATGATACATACATTTGAACATAAATCAATCATAAATTAGTTCTCAATAATAACATCATCAAAATGCAAATACTTACGAATAATGAACTATTCATTTTGATGTAATAAGCATTGAAATGTTATAAAACACGGATAGTTAAAACAATGAGTAATCTTTATAACCAGAGTTAATTGCATCAGTTCACATGCTGACTTATTTATTTTATTGAATAAAGTTTAATCTTGATTAAATATTATCATAAAAAATAATGATTGGCTTCTGCTGGGTTTAGTCTAGACACTAACTAGTCTATATTACATAATTTATTTCTTTAATTTTTTCCAACAAAGAGAATAGAAAGGAAATGAAGAGTGAATGAAATGGGCGTTTGTGTGTGTGCGTAACTGATGATAAGGATGATAGACGCATAAAATTCATTTGTGGATGATGATAATAATAATAGAATAGTAGTACCATGTAATGAGGAATCTCTTTTAAACAAAGTATCTATTCATTTGTTAGTAATGATTAATTTCATTTAACTAATCAATTAGTTTATATAAACAGATTTATGTAGATTATCTATTCATTAATTTTCACGCTCAATGAATTACCTGCTGTGATAATCTTTTATATAATGGGGAATCATTAAAAAATAATTATTTCCTGTCTAATTTTTTTGTTGAACTAATAATGTTTCCAAGCAAAGATGGATAGTAGCTAGCAGTAGAATTCAGGACGCGCGTTTCTACTTATTTGGGACTGATTAGCTGGATGTACTTGCATCGCAGAGTTGATGTTCACTCCGGGACTCGAATCCAGTACCGTTCGCTTCAAACGCTATCGCGTTATCCACCTATCTACTGAGTGCTGGATTCCACTGCTAGCCACTATCCATCTTTGCTTAAATAGCTTGTCACTTAAGGCTATATCGAGGTAATCTGCACAGGATGCACATATGCCAACATGAGACTGATCCATTACAGTCCTAAATAACAATGGAAAGATATAAGTAAAACAACATTAAGTGAATAATAATGTTTCTATTTATAAGTTCATAGATATATCTTCGATGTTTTTTTAAAATGCCGAATGTGTAGATATTTGGTAACATTCATACATTAAGTTTGATAATGACTAATTATTAGTACCGAACTCAGTATAAGAAAACTTGATCTATAGATTTTTAAAGATTCTTCTCATATTCAATCGTCGTTATTTCAGAGAGAGATTGCTCATATTCCGTGATGACATAATAAAAATCAACATTTAATAACTAATCTTATCTTGAAATATTTATCTCGTTAGCTTTCATACAAAGAATTGCATAGTAACATTGGAATTTTGTGGGGAAATCAAAGAAGTAATAGTCTGGTTACTTGACATATCTGAGTAAAAAATAGTTATGTTAAACTAGAATTTATTTATATATCATAACACCCCAGAAATAGTTTCCCTCTTCATCTAACTACACTAGTTGTGATACTCAAAATTGAGATTATTAGCCTCTTATGCTTTCTCTGGTCTGCAAGATTAATTGTGTTTACTATGAGGTCTAATAGATTTGCATTTAATTTGTAAACAGAATGTATATGTGGATTTATGCAGATTGTAGTATTTTTACAGTTGAATTCACGAGTCAATCTAAGCTAGACCACCATTGGTAACCTAGTAGCACCAGACGGTCATTTCGTCCTAGTATAAGAAATCCCAGTAATATTTATCGACGATCCTACGCGCGAGACCGAAGGTCCTGAGTGCGAGTCCTGCATGAGAAGTTGTGGGTGCGCACTGGTCAGGAGTTCCTTATTAGAACAAAACGGTCGTTCAGTGCTTCCAGGTTACCAGCGGTGGCCTAGCTTAGATAGACTCGTGAATTCAACAGTAAGAATGTATATATATTCAGGTAATCGACGGATCGACTGTTGAAAACAATATACGACCTTATATACGTATAAAAAGCTGTCACACTCATATAAACTTACCACTAATAAAATACCGATGTAAAGAAAATTAAGCTGGTAAATATAATATTGTTATCATATAAAAGGAAACTTGTCAAATAGAGTGTGCAGAATTAATGAATGAAATTTTGATGACGGTGTGATATTCAGTATTTCGCGAAAAATAAAATACATACTTCGTTACTGTCATTATGAAACAGTTTGAGACACGTGATTGAAGTCTCAAACTATATATTACAATTGTTTCATTAAAAGATCAAGACCTGAATAAATCATACAAACTATTATTTGGTAATCGGTAAATTTGATATTCGGTGAACGGTTAAATCCAATGACATTGTGTTTTATCTTGTATAGGACTCATCCGCTGAACTTAACAGTCCGTAAACACCGAACCAAATAATTTGTTCCACAAAATAATGTCCCTTTAATAACCATTAAAAACCAACAACAGCAAAAAATCTCGTGCGATCATTTCGTTGTACTTTGTAATTGTGCATCAGTATGCCGTAATGAATACAAAGTTAGGTCAATTATGATATCTTCAGGTCTTATGTAAAGCCTAATACCTTTAGACTAATGTTATAGAATTCAGTAGTCCATGTAATTAGTAATTGAGTGAAATAATTGGATATCCTTTAAAATTTTGCACACTTACCAGTCACTGTAACGAAAATAAGATAGTTTGTAGAAGTATTGAATTCTACCTGAAGCTTATGGTGATGATATCGTTCAGAAGAACGATAAAAGCTCCACGACCAAATCATCCAGATCAGAAAAGGAAATTCCATCAAAAACTATCGAGAATTATTTTGAATGATCAATTCATAACATTATTTTCTAATCTCTTGTAGGGTTTGTTTAGTTTTATTTCATTTCAATAACTAATATGGTTTATTATTATTTAATATTTTATCATCATTATTATAGGCTAGTGTTCATGAATGGTTAATACAATTACATTTGCAACAATATTGGCCTAAATTTAATGATCAAGGTTTAATAACATTTGAACAAATTATTCGTATTACATGGGATGATTTAGAAGAGATTGGTATTTCTAAATTAGGTACGTTTATATTCCTATTTTACATTTATTGACTAAGTGAGTTATAGTAGTTCATATGTAGTATGTGTTCATGAAGATGTCAGCATTTCCATATTCTCCTCCTGGAGCCCCTCTAGGGCTACTGACGGTCCAAGGCTCTGATAAAGGAGGAGGGTTGGACATGTAGTTAGCGACCCCACCCCGTAGAAAACTAACTTGCTAAAAAAACGCTAACCAGAAAAAATTATTCAAACCACAGTGAAATTAGACTTCATATTACTTCAAGTCAGTGATGAATCATTTTCTTCCTAAAAAAAATCATTTTTGACGAAATTCTTTTATATTTATATTGAATATCCGTAGACATCTGTTGGCTTCATGTACTAATTGAATACTAAACAAAGAGATAAAAGAAATTAGTCAGTTCTAGGTTAAATTGTTAATTTCCAATTATTCAATAACATTTTCGTTGATGATATGAATATAGGCTATAAATTATTCAGTCCATTTATCTTTCTGTTTAAAGTATTTGTTGAACATTTTTTACAGACTAGTTAGGAAATATTTTAATAAGCACCATCTAAACTATTTATTTATTTGAACACATAGATATTGGTACAAGGAGGCACCAAATACATATGCGTCACATAAATCATTCGATATGTGTGAGGGCTGGGATACTGCCCGTGTGCTCAAACCAAAGCATGTGGTTTTGTTAGGGGGCCACACCCCAAGCCTTCGACCTAAGAGTCTGACCCACAAGGCAGCAGAGCAACGTCAGGAGATGCAGTCCCATGGTAAGCGGTGACCAACGATTGGTTCATACGCCATTTGTTCCTTCAGGATACTGGAACCTATATGCACCATTGGTTTGGAATCAGGGTTTTCCCACTCCATTAGGCTGTTTCTCCACATCCACCAACCCGGGTAAAGTGCCAACATTCCCTTTTTGTCCTCTCGATTTCGTAACCAACAGTAATGTCACGAGAAGGTAGTGATTGGGACTTCCGTGTCAATGCTTGTGTGCACGTGGCCATGTGAGACCATTTCGAGAGGGAGAGATGACTCTCTTTAAACTCGGCCGTATCAGGGCATTTTGGGGTATCATCTAACCTGATTTAATATGAATAAAATTGGAAAGAATGAAGTTTGTAAAATATTAATGGTGTTTAAATTCATTGATTTCTACACTAACTAGTGTAGTTTTGTTGTGCTTTCAAAAACTTCACATATTTTCATTATTAGGATCAAGCTACAAATATTCTGTTAAATACTAACTCGAAATTGAGTTCAAAAATGACAATCTGACTAATACCACACATGAATTTTGAAACTTCTTTTAGGACAACGAACTGAATAATTCATATTCTTATTTTCTAAATCTTACTCTTTTACTACTGATTAAAATCACTAAACCTATTAGAAGTGTAGTGAACGAAAACAAAAGTGGGGACAACCAAATGTGTTTTGATACAAAATTACAAAGTTCTTCCTTAATGTACGAGAACCGTTCATTGATTACTTCATTTACAAATTTTCATCATTTGTCCTTCACATTACTTATGTTTCTTCTGAATTACAATTCCTTTTTATTTCTGTTATATCTGTCGACATCAGTAGCACACACCATATCAGTTGTTAAAAGTTGATATGGTTTGAGTTTACTTAATTCTCAACTGTCAATAATTATTAGACAACTATTAATTATCACATGAATTTTCCTAGAAATTTATAAGTCGAATGACTGAACCTGATAATTTCAAGTATACCAACTAACTAGTTACTAGGTGGAGTTTTCAATTAATCAAATTGTTGTTCTTAGAGGTATTAGTTAACCATCCTAGTGTAGTTATAAGTGGGTATCTTGTAAAAATTACATTTCAGAAGTGTTGCTTTATGTTGTTCTCATAGATGGATGGTTCAGTCATGAAACTGTCATTTTTATCAGAATATCCCTCAAAAAAAGAAGTCAGCTATTCGAATTTCTTCACAAGTGGCTAACAGATTGTTCTGTTGACCTAGAATTTACTTGATTGTTTTCCATGGTTGTGTGACCGTTGTTTAGATCTTAATTTAGATTATCTTCTTCCAACACTACATTTTTTGTCCTTTTTCTTATCATCTGGTAGATTGTGTTAGTTTCGATATCCCTGCTAATTGATAAGTGACCAGAGTGCCAGACTTTCGAAAATTTTGATTTTTTTGTTTCTTTGGTTCGAAATTCCAACCTTTCCTAATGAACTCATATCCATAGTTACCCGCTGGTATTCATATAAGCGAAGCTATATCATAGCTTTCTATAACTAGCTGGTGTCCACTTGATCGGAAAGAAAGTATATTCAGTAAATATTTCTTACATTCTTAAACAAATAAAAATTTTCATTCACTTGGTGTTGTTTTACTTGTATCTTCCTATTGTTATTTAAGACGGTAATTGATCAGTCTCATGTTGGCACATGTGCATCCTGTGTGGATTGCCTCAATATAGCCTTAAGTGACAAGCTTTTTAAGCAAAGATGAACAGTAGCTAGCAGTGGAATCCAGGACGCGCGTTTCTACCTATTTGGGACTTGTCTTCTGGATGTACCTGCATCGCAGAGTTGATGTTCACTCCTGGATTCGAGCTCAGTACCATTCGTTTCAAACGCCATTGCGTTACCCACTTAACTACTGAGTCCTGATAGTCACCTGTTTGTGCAATGGAGTGAAGTTTAAGTTCACTTGATATTGTTTTATTTGTGTCTTCCCATTGTTATTTAGGGCTACAATTGATCAGTCTCATGTTGGCATATGTACATCCTGTACGAGTTGCCCCGATATGAATATTTTAACTAAACGGTTTGATCACTTAACAATAAATCATTTAGATTAATAGTTTATCATGTGTATAACTTATATACTCTATAAGGAATAATTTAATCATTAGCTTTTTAAAGCAAAATCTAGTACAAATGTGTTACTTAAATCCGATATCAAAAATACATAAAACAAGGAAATAAAACAAAAGTTAACTATCATTGATTACGTAACCTTTTTTATCATGAATGTTTTAACAATATCGTCTTGCTGTTTCTTTTTTTTCACTCTCTCCATAGAGACTTGTTTTAAATTATTTGGTTTTTCCCCCTTTTCATCTTATATTTAGGTCATCAAAAGAAAATTCTCACTGCTATTAATAAATTAAATCGTCTAGTTTTATCATCAAAAATTAATGGTACCACAATAGGTTATCCATTTCAGAAAGATATTCATTTCATACAATCATCTACATCTTCATTTATTCCAAATGATACTAGAACTTCATCATCATCATTAGTAGTAAATTATGATTATTTAACAAAATTACCACAATATCAATCTAATCAACAGAATGTTAATAAAACAAATGAAATAAAAAACAAGGAATATTGTCAACAATATTTAAAAGGTATTCATAAACTATTATTATTGTTTCATTTCAATAAAAGTAATCTACCCAATTTGTAAATATGTTCGATATTGAAATTATGCCATTTTCTGAATTGATTAATGATTACAATTGTATGAACGAGATTAATACATGACAATCCTATAAATTTTGCACCTTATAAATGAGAGTAGTCAAGGATTCAAACAAAAGCTAGACATTCAAAGTAGGTAAAATTGTGTGTTTATATAATGACTCGTAATGCTGAATAGTGTCGGGAATAGTTGAAAGAAAGCTAGAAGTGGCCAAATCAAAACGTGACATCAGTGCTTGAAGTCACTAACTTTTAGTCTTAGCCATGTTGGTAGGTGCAGACTACTTGTTTGGGGTCCGCATGACTATCGTACCAATGGTTGAAGACTGTAGGTAACATGACTCGGAATCGATTGTAATGGTGTAGGTGTATACACTATGAGATTAAAATCACTTCATATCTTTCTTTCTACGAACTAATTCTTTCTTCCTGTACTATGTCGTTATATGCAAACTGTCTTTTATATATTACCACCATTGAATTGACTAGTTCTATGAATCCGGTGTTCATCTTGTTGTGCTAATGAGGTATGGAAACTTGGACCGATGCATGTATGTGCCAGGTCTTACTTTGTAACTGACTGACTGACTGAAATAGTGATCGTTATGACCTTGAAGCACAACAAAAATAACGAACTAAAAATGAAACTGACCAATCAAATAATAATACAAATAGGTAGTTACTTAGATTAGAACAAAATTACCAACGGTTTATTTGCACACCAGAAATGCTATTCATTAACGAAAATAAAAAAAGCTTTAGTTAATTTTAAACCTTCCTGGCAAGAATTCATAATAAAATTAAGTAAGTGGTTATCTTCTGTTTTGTTCATATGGGGAAACACAACAATGAGTATGTTAGGATTCAGAAAAATATTTTAATCTTACTTTCAAAATCTTAAACGCAACAATACTAAGATTATTTAACATAGTCCGATTTCCCAACACATATTATGCCAAATGAAGTCGAACAACTTACTTACTCACGAAGGAGCATAGGCCGCTCACCAGCATTCTCCATCCAACCGTGTCCTGGGCAATCCTTTCCAGCTCTTTCCAGTTCTTATTCATCCCTTTCATATCCGCTTCTATTTCTCGACGTAATGTGTCCTTTGGCCTTCCTCTTTTCCGCTTTTCTTCAGGTTAGGGCTTGCATCGTGATGCAATTTGATGATTTCCATAATATGTGTCCTATCCATTTCCATCGTCTTTTCCTAATTTCCTCTTCATTTGGAAGCTGGTTGGTTCTCTCCCACAAAAGGCTGTTGCTGATGGTATCCGGCCAATGGATGTTGAGTATCTTGTGTAGACAACTACTTATAAATACTTGTACCTTCTTGATGGTTGTTTTTGTAGTTCTCCAAGTTTCAGCTCTGTACAGTATAACTGTCTTGACGTTCGTATTGAAGATTGTGACTTTGAGATTGGTTGAAAGTTGTTTTGAGTTCCATATGTTCTCCAATTAAAGGAATGCTGTCTGCATCTGAACCTCCTTGTTCATCGATGATGCTTCCCAGGTATGTGAAGGATTCTACATCTTCCAGAGTTTCGCCATCAAGAGTGTTTGGATTGCTGTTCTCCGTGTTGTATTTGAGGACCTTGAGTTTGCCCTTGTGTATGTTGAGACTTACTGATGCAGCGACTGCTGTTACGCTGGCTGTCTTTATCTGCATTTGTTCGTGTGTATGCAGTAGGAGGGCTAGGTCATCTGCGAAGTCTAAATCGTCCGATTGGTTCCAAGCTGTCGATTGTATGCCGTGTTTTCCCTCACATGTCGAGGCCTTCATAATCTAGTCAACCACCAGAAGAAAGAGGAAGGGAGAGAGTAGACAGCCTTGTCTGAATCCGGTCCTTACTTGAAATGCATCTGTCAGCTGTCCTCCATGCACTACATTGCACTGTAGTCCATCGTATGAATTCCAGATAATATTGACAATCTTCTCAGGAACTCCGTAGTGTCAAAGAAGTTTCCATAACGTTTTCCTATCTACACTGTCAAATGCCTTCTCATAATCAATGAAGTTGATGTACAGTGACGAGTTCCACTCAATTGATTGTTCGACGGTGATCCTTAGTGTCGCAATTTGGTCTGTGCACGACCGGTCCTTACGGAATCCAGCTTGTTGATCTCGAAGTTGATCGTCTACTGTTTCTTTCATCCGGTTCAGTAACACTCTGTTAAAGACCTTTCCTGGTACTGACAGTAGTGTGATGCCTCTGTAGTTTTCACACTTGCTCAGATCTCCTTTCTTTGGAATTTTGATGAGGTGTCCTTCTTTCCAATCCATCGGCACTTCTTCCTCCTCCCGAATCTTCTTGAATAGAAGATGAAGCATGCTTGTAGTTACTTCGATGTCTGACTTCAGTGCTTCCGCTGGTATATTGTTGGGTCCTGCTGCTTTCCCGCTCTTGATTTGTCTGATGGCCATTCTGATTTCTTCGATCGTTGGTAGAGTGACATCTATAGAAAGATCTGTGTTTGCTGCTTCGATGTCCGGTAGATTCAATGGAGTCTGCCTATTCAGGAGTTCTTCGAAGTACTCTGCTCATCTGTTCCGCTGTTGTTGAATCTCAGTGACCCGTCTTCCTTCTTTGTCTTTGACTGGTCTCTCTGGTTTACTATATTTCCCAGCTAGTTTCTTCGTTGTATCGTAAAGCTGTTTCATATTTCCTTCTCTTGCAGCTTTCTCCGACGTCGTTGCTAGTTCATCCACGTATTTCTGCTTGTCGGCTCTATTGCTTTTCTTCACTTGCCTGCCTGCTTCTATGTACTCAGTTTGTGTTTGGACTTTCTCTGCTCGTGTTCGGATGTTGTTAATTGATGTCTTGTTCTTCTTTTATCTGATCCTGTCTAGTGTTTCTATAGAGATCCATTCCTTATGATGATGCTTCTTGATGCCCAGAACCTCTTGACACGTTGAAGTTAATGCTTCTTTGATACCTTTCCAGTTGTCCTCCATAGTAGATTCTTCTTCCTTCAGTAGATCCTGTAGGGCTTGGAACCTGTCACTGAGGGCTATCATGAATTCATTGTGTTTGTCAGTATCTCGAAGGAAGGCTGTATTGGATCTTTGCAGCGCTGTTTGTCCAGTTGTCCAGTTCTTCTTTAGCTTCAGTTTCAAATTGACCACAACCAGGTGGTGATCTGAAGTTATGTCTGCTCCTCTCGTGGTTCTCACATCTTCCATTGTCCTTCGGAACTTTTTATTGATGCAAATATGATCTATCTGATTCTCTATGGTGTAGTCCGGTGAGATCCATGTAGCTTTGTGTATGCATTAGTGTAGGAATATTGTGCCGCCTATGACCAATTTGTTGAATGCACACAGATTTACAAATCTTTCCCCGTTTTCATTCCTCTCTCCAAGTCCATGCAGTCCCATGATATCTTCATATCCGGTGTCGTCTATTCCGACTTTGGCGTCTAGATCTCCTATCAGAATGGTGAGTTCCTCTCTTGGGCACTTCTCTATGATTGATTGCAGCCTCTCATAGAATTGATCTTTAATTTTGTCGTTGCTATCATTGGTGGGTGCATAACATTGGATACTATTCATTGTGATCCCCTCCTTCTTTGTTTTGAATGATGCTTTGATGATTCTGGAGCATTCTCGTCTTCGTGACCGGAGTATGGCAGCATCTCTCCCGTATTTAGCCTTTGCTGTCCAGCTTGAGTCCAATGGGTTCCGCTGATTCCCAATACTGCCAAGTTTTATCTCCTCATTTCTGTTGCTATTTGACTGGTCTTCCCGGTCTCCCACATTGTCCGGACTTTCCATGTACCCATAGAAATTGTTGCTCTAGTTGTTAGAAGGGGCATCGGCCTCATGACTTCCGAAGGAACTCGGCTTTGACAATGAGGCGGCATATTTCTTCTAAATGAAGACCTAACTCCCAGGGCAGAGTTCAAATGGTTTGAGTTATTTTTTCTGGTTAGCGTTTTTTTAGCGAGTTAGTTTTCTATGGAATGGGGATGCTAACCCCATGCCCAACCCTCCTCCTTTATTCGGGTTCGGGACCGCCAGTAACTCTAGAAGAGCTACAGACGAAGTTGAAGTCGAACAATTTGGAAATGAAACCAGCATTTTGCCCATCGATGATAATTGTGGGATTTTGTATTTAATTACAAGCTGATAGAAGTGAAAAGTGAATCATTGAATTATATTTATTAAAAGACTTGGAGGTTCAGTGTTCAATCTGATTGGCTGGATCAGTCATAATTATCAGTTTAAGACCAAATGATAAGGAAAAGATGCTGATGGGTGTACGCTGTTAGTTAAGACAGCCTAACTTTCTGCTGATTGAAAATCTAGTTTAAGTTTGAACGGAGACAGTTATATATTTATGCATTCGATTCTAGCTAGCCAATTAAAGCTTACTACATAATCTTAGTTTTATCATGAAGTATCTAGTTATGCTTGTGTATCGAAAGCGTACATATCAGTATCAGACTATAACGACCATCTATGTAAGATCTTAGGTGCACACTGATGAAACATCTATCTAGTGCAGCGCGTCTTCTAACGTCTAGTCAGCTGATATCATATGAAGACGAAAAACTCCCTTTGTGTTACTTTTGGTTAATAACTAGTAACTTAACACTTTTAGATAAGTCGCATTAAAAAGAAGGGTATTATTATTGATTGTATAAATATCTTTTCAACTTTTAGAAACAAGATTTCTAATAATGTTATGTATTGGGAATGATAGAAATAAACTAATATACGAAAACGGACAACCAACTATTGCATTTCATGGTGGATATTTCTCTTATGGCTTACGACCACTGACTAATATCACGTGAAAAAATTACTAATCAGAATCCAACTTCTAAGACCTTATTGACACACGATTCGCTAGTTCCTCTCTATCTGAATTGCCCTTTGAGTCCAGAAGTTAATAATCAACATCCACCACGCTAAACTTCAAGCAGACATAGTTTGTATACAAATGTACCTGGCCACACAAAACTATATTATGGAAAATAACAATTATATATGATCAAGCCAAAATGTAATTGTGAGTAGGAGGTGTTGTAAAAACAATAAGTCGCATAGCAGCAGTTAATATATATATATATATAATCACTAAGGAAAATGATTTCGAACAGATTGAAAGAAAAGTAGTTCATATTGCATAGTCTTACCTTATTTCAGATAAGATAAAAGTTATTTAGAATTTTTTTTGGAAAAGAACATTCATAAACATAACTCGTAAAAATAAATTTGTTATCATTTACAATAGATATAAACACTTGAAATATAAAGATATTGTAATTATTGCCACACAATAATATGTACATATATCTAAATATGTTAAGCAGTTTTGTGAAAGTGTTTAAACTACTTAAACATGGTTTTTATTCTAAACTAGTAGTAATTTAAGAATTGATACAATGTTTAAAGATTAGATCCAATAGTCAAGTTTTTCATTGATATTATGAAACGATCTAAGTTAGATCACCACTGGATGGCCTTTCAGTGCCTCTAGGTTTTCAAAAGTAATCTAACTTAGATCAGTTTATGATTTCAACAATCTCCACAACCCCATACTGAGAGTCACGTTTTTAATGATAGGAGAATGAATGGTCAATAAACTGACTTCCTCTAATTACCTATGACATTCTAACATGTTTATTTTGTGTACATATTGTGTGTATGAACATGCTATTTTATTACATAAGAAAGCTTTTTGTCTGGCTAATGGTTTTATCATTGATTTCAAGTCATTCAGATTCAACAGGGTTAGAGTTGTCGTTAGTCTACAAAATTATGGTTTTCACAGAACTACCAAATAGCTATATGAATAAATCACTAAATAAGTTTTCGTACAAAAAACACTACATATTTCCTATAGAATAAAAATAAAATAGTCTATACTAAATATTATTTCTGTTTCTTACAAATGATTACATTAGAAAGTACTTCTTTATATTATAGCGAGATATGAACTTTAAGGCCAACCAAGTCGGAAGCCATTTAGTCACCTACTAGTATTTCATTGGATGGTCATCTCGCTATAAAGTGAATAGAGGGAAGTTAACTGATGACTAAGTTGCCTAGTAACATCATGATGTTATTATTTAACTTATTTATGGTTATAGGCAGGTAGTTCTGAAGTATTACAAATTCAGACTGAAAAATCATCCAGGAATTTGCAGTTTTTTGTGATCAATCAGTTTTCGTCAGTTCATAATGAAAGTATGAAGGAAACAAAACAAATTCAGATAATTTGAGCGCTTTACAGCTGATTTATTTTTCTATAAAATTAATCTCTATTATAAGCAAACATGGATGGTGGCTAGCAGTGGAATCTATGACGCACGTCTGGATGTACCTGCATCCTAGAGTCGATTTTCACTCTGGGTTCGAACCTAGTACCGTTCGCGTCAAACGCCATCACATTATCTACTTACCTACTAATTCCTTATAGCCGCCTGCTTGTGCGATGGGGTGAAGTTTAAATTAACTTGATATTGTCTACTTGAATTTTCCTATTGATCTTTAAGACTGCAATAGATCCTTATTCACGGTATGCACACATGCCAATAAGAGAATGATCAGTTGCAGTCCTAAACATCAATGAGAAGATTCAAATAATCGGTACTAAGTGAATTTAATCTCTATTAATTTGTAAAATACAAAGTAAAATATATTAAAACGTTTAATACTTAAACAATTTTTTGAATACGGTTTTTGTAGCCCAATGTTTTGCTCTACACAATTCCACAAATAAATGGCTTGACTATACTCCTTAGTACATAGCAGTAGAGCATAATGACGTGCACAGGTAATTAAGGTTATGATTTGAACTACAAATGATACGAGCCTATTAGTAATGCTAATTTATTTACGAATTGAATTGTTAAGTATTGGATGAATAGTAATAAAAGCCACATATCAATGATACTTAACTATTCAAACTGAATAAAAATAGATTTTTGAAAATAGTGATCGTGACATTTTGACCACAAATAAACAGTTTCATTTCTTTGAAATTTCTATTTCCAATAATATCTAAAGACAATATTATTTGGATTTATTTTCTTTATAAAGTTTCAGAAATCGGGATACAAGTTGAAGAAAGTCAAACGAAATCACATACTTCACCATCATCACCTTGCTCTTCTTCCAATTCAACAACCTCAGATTTATCATCAAATGATTCACGATATTCTCTTCCTCCTCCAGTTGATTTTCAAGACTCACCACCTAAATCATCATCATCATCTACTTTTCCAACTATTTCATTAATTCATGATTCAGAACATTCAAACTCTAATTTACAACAGTCTAATTCTTCTTGTATAATAAATGAACAATTAAGATCTAATCTTTCATCTTGTACTACTATAGCTAATAACAATGTTCAATCTTCTCATTCATTATGTAATATTCATAGTCCTATAAATATAGATAACACATTATTAAACAAAAATTCAACATCTGTACGCTTCAGTAGTTCTGAGTATCATAAAGAAGAACAATTGAATAAATTAGGACAATCGAATATATTTCAAAGGCGTTCTTCCAATCCTACATTATATTCACTGAAACCTAATGATCCTGTACAAAATACTAGCGATTTATCAAAATGGTCCTCAGGTTAGTGGTCGTAGTAGTAGTATTTCCTTTGTTCATTAATTATTTTGACATAGAAATAGATTTTAGCTAAAATTCAATTTCCAAAATCTGATTAAATAAAAAAATTTTTTTTGTTTTTATAATATAAAAGTTACTTGTAACATGTTGTTACATAATCAATGTTCTATATCGTTATTTTATTTGAGAAAAGATTGTTCAGTTTATATGAGAAAATTGGTTGAATTAATTTATATACCTACTTTTTTATCAATTGAGTTCAACCGGATCTGTTTTGAGATAGTAACTCACTGAAAACAATGGTGGATGGGTTACTCAATTTCGTGAATTAGTTTAAATTAGACGTGAATACCGTTGGATGCCGGCCAGCTCAGTAATCTAGAGGTTAAGAGTTTGCACACGAGACCAATAGGTCCTGAGTTTGAATCTCGCGAAATGAGATTGTGAATGCGCAATGCTGAGGAGTCCCACAATAAGACGAAACGGCCGTCCAGTATTTCCAGATTTTCTATGGTGCTCTAGCTTCAATCAATTCATGATCTCAACTATTAAAAAGTCAATATTCATCAATTGAACAAAATTTCAAGTGTAAACTATTCGAATTCTAACTCATTAGTCTAAAGATATCATGCTTATTAAGAAACTCAAAAGTATATTATGAATCTTAAATAATTCAAAGTCACAATGTAAAATATTAAAACTTATTAAGTACAATTTGATTTTCAGTGGCTCTCCTATTCAATTACAATCTGTAAAATATACTATCTTTTTAATATTGATCATATACGATTTTTTAAACTGTGAGCTGATTTCATTCAATTTCTATTACAATTAATACTTGAACATTCTTATATTCAAATAAATGTCTAATGACCTTTTTGTTTTTACAATATTCTGATCTTAAATATATACTGTAAATTTCTTTTACAAATTAATAATAATATGAGAAAGGAATGGAAAAACGTATGTACATATATATTCGATGGACTATTCATATTTTGAAGATGATTTTCATTGCAAACTGATTGGATAATCTTATTTATTCTAGTTACAAGATTATTCAAAAATGCTTCTACATTACACTAGATCATGTTTAACAGTTTTAGATATCATAGTGAGGAATGCACTGTTTATATTTTCAATTCAAGTTACATGTTACAGATAATAGCATTATTTCTTGATACAGTTGACTCTATTATCTAAGAAACTCAAAAACTTTAATTAGAGTGAATACACGGCTTTTACCGTTATAGGCACTTCATAAGGATTTGTTTAGTATAAATACAGTTTTTCTAATCAAATGATATCAATCGAAGCCCTATTAAAAACCAGAACACATATAACTGGGATTTCATTCTAGTTTGGGATTTTCCAGACTTACTTCCTTGCGATTAACGTATCAGTGTGCCAGTTAGTCGGATAGGACACACATTAAGGAAAGCACCCAACTACATCACAAGGCAAGCCCTCACATGGAATCCTTAGGGCCACAGGAAAAAAGGAAGACTAAAAAACACATTACGGTGAGAAATGGAGACAGACATGAGAAAAATAAACAAAAATGGGATAGAAGTAGAAAGGAACGCCCAAGACAGTTTGGGTTGGAGAATGCTGGTCGGCAGCCTATGCTCCATTAGGAGTAACAGGAGTAAGTAAGTAAGAGCCAGTTAGTCAAAGGACGGTCCTCGAGAGTTGACTGAAGTGAAGACTGTGAATCATCTGGATTTTAAAAAGCTTTCTAAACGTAACGGTGACTAGACAGTCTGGAACTTTTAGATTTCACCTGCTTTAAATTTGTGGATTCATAGTACTTGCAGATTTGATATAATAATAATAATATACATTCTTGGGTCCCTTCTAAAATAACTCTTCAACTGATATAATTTCATGATGAAAATCAGTTGTGAATTAATCCCAAATGACAAAATTAATACGATTCTTCACTTTTTTAACCGAACTGGAGACTTTCAGATCTTAATATAACGTCTGTAGACTTCAGGCTACTGAGTCACTATCTAGTAGTCAACTTAAATCAATTTGCAGTATATCACAATAATAACCAGCTTATATCATCTCGTTGTTCAGTACTGAAACCCACTAGCTATAACTATCAACTAGAACTGTAGCAATCCATTTTAAAACTAGTTACTATTGGCGAATTTAATTATTGGTTAGTTGAAGGATTTGATGAGATCAGTTTAATTAAGTGACGGTTTTTACCATAAATTGAAATCAAATTAGTATTTGTTTCTTAATAATAATTAGTACAATCAATACGATTATTTTCATATCTCACTAACTTAGTATTTAACTCCTTCATGTTACTGTATCTTGTAAACTTATTTTTCCACATAAAATAAATGGATTTTGGTCAGCCATTGAATTTAAGACTCATGTTTCGTCCTACCCAGCACTCGTTAATCGGATGTTTACACTGATACTCAAACCTAGCACCTGTTCGTATGGATACCAACATTTTGTCCCTTGAGTCACTGATTACATGAAATCACTAACGTATTAAACCTGGTATGTATTTATTTGTAAGGGTATGTACTGTTCCATTATTAATATTCAAGACTGAACTCATTTGTTCCAAAACATAAATAAATATATATATAGGGACTGATAAATAGATAAGTGGAAAAGTATCAAGTGATAACTTACATAAATTCTATGATTGCTTATTGTTATTATCAATAATGATCATGACTATGGTGATCATGATGACGTGACAATGAGGATGAGATGAAAAGACAAAAGAAGATTTTGTTTGCTTTCCCCTTTGTTTTCCCTTCAAGATGTTTTTGTTCTTCATTCAGTCCTCTTTTATATAAGTATATTTTGCTTTTATGATTAGATAAACATATATATATATATATATATATATATATATATATATATATATATATATATATATATATATATATATATATATACTTATTATCATGGAATAATATTGGAAGATTTCAATATTGTTTATAATAAGTTGATCATAATAATAATAACTTAACTATTTTCATCTTACTGGATTTCCCAAGAAACTTAATTCCAATTTACTAAATGTATATGTTCATTAAACTGATGATGATGAATCATTTCTCCGTCTATTATGTTCACTTAATGCGTTATACAGTAATATAAATTCATATAAAATTTATATTCATTTATTTATGGTTGTATAGATGTAGCATCATGGGAAGAATAAATTCATTCTAAATAATTCAAAGTTTTATGACTAATTACGTTTTCTTCATTTCTGTTTTCGATTGGTCCATTAATCAATGTTTATGCATTGTTACTCATTAGTGTTTAGATAAAGGCCAGTTAAGATTGAGTAAGATATTTTCATTTTATGTTTTATACTATTTAAGTAGTATGATTCACTGATAGTAATTTTTTAAGTTGATCTTTTGATATAATCGAATTCAAGGGATACCACATTGTATCATATTCATGAAGTCCTTGTTTTTTTATTAAAATTTCCACTTATCACATCACGATTCGGTCGTAAATATGTATGGACAAACATTGAGATCCATTGTGTTTAATGTTGGGTGATTGATTGGAATTGAAATATGTAGAAAGAATTTGGTCAACGCTGGAGTCTAATCAAACATAACATCGATTACTAAACTAAGTGACCAGTTGATCTTTCCGCCCTAAAAAGATCATTTGATGTATGAAAATCCCAGTGATTATGTCTTTTATAGTGACTGTAGGGGAGCAGGGTCTAAATTTTACAGAGAACATCAGTTTTTTGAGGTAATTCGTATATCTTTCTGATAAGTACCAAATAGCATGATAAATAGATCAACCAAGGATTCCTATGAATTGCATTTAACTACCTAACATCATACGTTACCAATATGTCAGTCATAAACTTGAATGTTGATGAGAATGAAGTATACTGATGAATTATTGGCTACAGTTTAGCTTTACTCTACTCAAGTACTTTTTATGTGTTGACAAATTAGGAATGTATACTTATAAATAAAAAACATTTTGGCAACCAACCATGTTAATTGTTACGATTTCCTATTTTTGTTATAAATATATTAAGGTTGAGTTAGCAGCTGTTAAAGTTTCCGAACCTCAGTTCACTCTTTTATCTATGAGTCCAGTATTCACTAGTTTTTTCTGATATTCCTAAAGAGTCAGTCTGTTGCGAATTTTAATAGAATTGAAATGAACAGTAACATGTATAAAATGAGTAATTCTATTGAATTTTCAGATTGTTTTATCTTGAAATAAAAAAACATCCAGTTAGTTAAGCTTATGTTGAGGTCATATACGCCAGATCTTTGTGATAGGTTGTTATGGATGAACACATAATTTACAACGAAAGTTTCTTGATGTGTTTTGTCAACCTTTAAATGCCAGTTGTTTATATTTCTTTCTTGATTAGGTCTTTTAACAACTCCACAATTACGACTTCCAATCAAGTAAGTTAAACATTTTGAAGAAATGTTTTTAAATCGATTCAAAATATATCGTGTTGTTTCAAAGATATTCTGTTGTAGTTTAGCAGTGAAATCAGGAACGCACATTCCATCCTATCTGGGGCTCGTCATCTGGATGAACCTGATTCCCAGAACTGACGTTCAGTTTGGGACTCGATCCCAGTATCATTCGCCTCAAATGCAGTAGCGTTATTCACTTAGCTACTGAGTTCAAATAGCTGCTGACTGGTGCATGATGGTGAAGTTTCTGATTCATTTGCATTGGTTGTTTAAATATTCCCATTGATGTTTAGGATTGGAATTGATAAGTTTTAGTTAGGATATATGCATCTCATGAGTACAACGCAATGAGGTTTGATGCGAGCAGTACTGAATTCGAGTCTTGGAGTAAACATCAACTGTGGAATGCAGATACATCCAGCTGACGAGCCTCAAAAACAACGAAATAGGCGTCATAGATTCCACTGCTAGCCACCATTCATCTCTACTTGCAGTGCTTGTGAATTAATAGCATTATTGGTGCAATCTTCACAGAATAAACATATGCCAATTAGAGACTGATCAATCGCAAACCTGAACATCAACGGGAAGTTACATTGACACTTGGAAATACAATTTTTCTATTCATTAGGATATAACAAAAATATATTTATTATTAATGGAAAGGTTTCAACAACCAATTCAAGTGAATTATTCTGTTGTAGCTAATACATTATTTTAGGTTAGTCAGGATAATAAGTTTTAAGATGTGTAACTGTACTGAATATGACTGTCTCAAACAGTCTTAGCTTTAACAGCTTTTGAAATGAAATAAATATTGTTTACCGTCAGGATTCGCATTTCGAATTTTTATTGCTGTGACTCAGGAAGAAATTGGTCAATATTTGTGTGCAAATAGGCACCCTGAATGAAAACCACATTATTCATCACACTGACAAGTTGATAGTGGTTAGGAACGGAATTTAAAAATACATCCCGTTCCACTGAAGATTTATCAGCTGCGTACTTCATTATTGATGTCCTTACTAAATCTTCTATATAAACGACTGGTGAATACAAACCCTTCAACAAATACTGAATATCATATCCTAGAGCACAACACTGTTGTCTTTGAATTTAATAAGTACCAGATTTAAATTTTAATAGAAACTTCCGAGATTAATTGTTGTAGGGTTAAATGTATATATATATATATATATATATATATATATATATATATATATATATATATATATATATATATATATATATATATGTAGTATAGCTATTCATTACCCAGATTATATATATCTACCTTCCTTTTATTATAAGCTTCATTTTGACCTATAGACTATTATCATGCGGTTTATTGTTCTTAAGTTGATTATTGATTATAGTCTTCCACAATCACAGCCACTTTTCGGCTTGCTTTTGTATAAATTTTAATTTCTATTTTATGGAGTGATACGGTCTGTTTGGCTGGTATATATACCAAGTATGTTCAAAATAAACTATTCGTATAGTGTCAGCTGGTATTGGTGTTCTGAACTCAACTGGACGAGATAGGCAAATAAAGAACTGATAAGGACGCTAGACTGCTTATAACGGTCGAACGTCATTAGTTTGGCACAGTAGTATTAAGACTGTTTAAATAGTATTTCGATTGGTGAATAAATCACGTGATAACTAGCCGGGCTTAAAGTTACAACAGATAATCTTCTTAAAATTTGTAACAACATCTTACAAATACAAACCTCGTACAAACTTTTTTCATATCCTTGAATAATTTCAAATGACTTTAAGTCGTTTCAATAGTTGAAATCATGAGTCAATTGAAGCTAGACCACCATGGAAAACCTGGAAGCACTGAACGGCCGTTTCGTCCTATTAGGGGACTACTCAGCAGTGAGCATCCACGATCCCGCTCCCCCCTCGAGATTCGAACTCAGAACCTATCAGTCTCGCGAAACGGCTGTCCAGTGCTTCCAGGTTTTCCATGGTGGTCTAGCTTCAATTGACTCATGATTTCAACTATTGAAATTATTAAAATCTCCACAAAACCCCTTCTGATAACTTTAAGTTGACCAGTTGATTGTCCCAACTAAATTACAATAATCGATCACAAAACGTTTTATTCTAATTTATTCAATGAGATATTTCATTCATTTTCCTGTTATAAATAATCATTTACTTATATGTTTTATTTATATATAATTTTTTGTAGTGTCAATTCTAATTCTGATCCAGATTTGGAAGCTATGCACAATATACAAGTTATGCTTGATCAAATCAGTGAACGCCTTATTTTAACTAATAAATAGTATTGGAATTTGAAATATTTAATTGAATATAAATTAACATAAATGGTTCAATTCTGTCAATTTAAACAAGATATTAAGTTCATAATCATTGATTGTTTAAAACATACACTTGGTCAACTGATTTATTTCATTTAATCATCGTTTTTTTTAAAAAAGAAGACATTTACTGATACCATGTTATCACTAAGTAAACATTGAATATTATACTTCTTATTTAGTTATTTTATCACACGATTTATTTATCGTGCCTTAATTATTTCTAAAGATAAATTCAATATGAATTTGGTCTGTCAATAAAAGATTTTCATTATGAAGCGAGAATATGTATGGGCTTATCAATGACAATTATTTCAATTCATCCCTAAAGTATACTCTTAGCATTATATATATATATATATATATATATATATATATATATATATATATATATATATATATATTAACGCATTATCATCCCTTGCCCTAAATTTCTTTTTGTTCTCCCTTCTCCTTGTACACCTTTGTTTTCCTTACTTTTGTCTGTTATTACATACTTGTATGTGTGTTACTTTTTACTTCATCTTTTTTTCAAATATCATTGTTAAGTAGTACGTATCATGCATCCTTTTAAAGTATTTTGGCGGCAAAATAATGTTCCAAGAAAAAGAAACACCTTTTTCTTACTGTTTTTATCATATGTAAATATCATATTCCTTATGGTGTGTAATTTTCTTTGTTCAATAGGTTAACAGAAGAAAAAAGTTGTTTATCCTAAACATATTTTATGTATTAAACCATTTACGTGGAGAAGAGAATTAGGGTATTATTTGTTTGACAAATTTTATCAATGATTAAATCATTTTTCATCAAAAAAAAAACAAAAATAATTTTCTTGAAGCTCATTTTCATCAATTGTACATTGAACTGCATATTATTTATTTTTAAACTTGACCATATCAGAAACACGGTTGAGGTGATGAGTAATGTTTTCAATGTTTTGAAAGTGTACTGTATTCATGACTTTTGATCATTTCTCCTTCCATTTAATCAATGGGTACTCTATGCTAGAGTATAAACTTTACCAACGGTTTTATTGCAAACGTCTGGCGTTAT